TCTTTTATTTTATAGTCAGGCTTTCTGAGTGTGTCGTGTATACCCTAAGTTCCTGGATGGAAGTTACTCAAGATTTTAGATATATCAAAAACTAATTAATATTATACCTCCAAATAGTCGTCATGTTAAATATTTAGTTCTATTTCCTAAATACATCCAAGCATATGTGCCTATTCCTTGTAAGTCAGATGGAAAACAAACTTTGTACAGAACTTTTTGAATGTGGATAGACTGAGTGAATAAATGCTAAGAAAGAGAAAAGGGCTGATCCGGTCTTACGATCATGACGGAACAAGCCCAGGAGAAAGTATGAGGATTGGCAGCATTTGCGTGTATTCCTTTATTTCTTTCAACTTTGATGTTGTAGAACATTAGCTTTTTTTCTTTTCTGCCCTTGGATAAAAATGGCTTCACTTCAGTTTCTCAGGAGCACTCACTTTGGAGGCCAGAATGATACAAGCTTGTTGAACTGTGATTGACCTCTTTTAAAGCTTTTACATTTTACCTAATAAATGTAGGGAACTTGAACACATGGATTTGGTACATTTTAACTTTTCTGATTAAGAAACTAAGCATTCATCTCTTGGCGAATTGCATAATTTGCGTAAGGTAGTAAGCAAATTATTCTTAGAAGATTAGAAGATTATACCTCAGAATTTAGTAACTGAGGAAAACATCCACTAAGTATTGACAGTAATACATTTACATGGCATACTGTTGTCTAGTTTAAAAAGGAAGGTAGACAGATACAGGGACAAAACACTGCTGTGTTCCCTCAGTAGCAATTTTGAGGTGTGAACTATTCCTACTGTTAATTAGTTATGACTATGAATTTGGAGAAAGGATGGAAAGCTAAGAACTTTCTTAGATCATACCATTGGGTAGTTCAGCACGTTTTGTGTCTAGATTTAGTGTCACTGTTGTACTTTTGTTTTATGATGTAAATACAGTAGGAAACACATATTAGAGAAATGCCAGAGTGGTGGTAATTATCAGCTGCATTCTACCATCTTATCCCCACTGCACCAAGACTCAGCCCTTGGCAAACAAAGACATGCACTTTGTCTATGGAATTGAGGATACCTGGTTTGAAAGAGACTTCAAATTGTGTTTGTAAACACATTACAATTATGTAGTTTTCGGTCTTTGTAGGTTATCAAGTGTATTTAGTTGATTGTGCTTTTTTTTTTTTTGACACTCAATGTTAAAGGAGCTTTGGAGTAAATCACACCTGACTCTAAACTCCCACAATGTCCATTGCTATTTGCTTAATGCAGAACTATGACATGTAATATGTTGCATGTTATATATACTTTAAACTGAAAAATATATGAACTATGGAAATGTATTGCTTACAGTCCTACGCAAAGCTGGGAATTCCAAGTTTAAGACACCAGCAGATATGGTATCTGGTGAGGGCTCAATTCAGACCTGCTGCTTTCCCCCTGTACTTTCAGGTGACAGAAAGGGCAGCAGCTCCCTGGGAACCTTTTCCACAGGGGCACTAATCTCATTTCTAAATGTAAGGACCTGATTACCTCCTTAAGGGCCCCACCTCTTAATGCCATCACCTTAAATGTGATGGTATCTCCATTATCTCTCATAACTTAAACCTTGTCTCTAGGTATCTTTTTAACACATTTTAAGTATGAAAGGGAAGTGAATTCTTCGTGGACCTTCCCTCTTTCTCTGAAAAGGTGTTTTGCATCTGCAAATGCCTATAATATGATTGCTTTTCACAGCTGTAAAGAAAAAGTGGAACTCCCAGAACACTAGGGTGTAGAGTTACCGAAACAGATGAGTTTTAATGTTGATTGATGTGTTCTGTTCAAGAACTCAGGTTCTCAGAAGCAGTTGGTGCTTTATTTGGTAAACAAGTCTCCACTGAACACTATGTTCTTCTCTGGGAAGAGTTTGTGGGAGTGGCTGCATGGGGAGAAATGTGAGGGAGGATGGAGAATGTGGTGAGAATGAGAGGCAAATTGAGGCTACTTGCAAATCACATCAGCTCTTAAAATTCACAAACTAGAGTAAGTATAAACGGAGACCTACAAACCATATAATGTCCTGGAAATAGATTCAAATTAGAATCCTCAGGCTCCTTGGGGTTTTGCACTGAGTACGGCAGCATGGGTAGACTCTTTTCTTCCCGTGTCCAGCTGTATCCCTAACCCTGAAGGGGTATAGACTCTACAGCCCTCATCTCCAAGGTTTGCCTACCTTAGGGCCCATGGGTGCACATCCACAGGAGGATGAACCCAAGCTCTGCCAACAGGGTTGCTGTCATTTGGGTAGGGAATTCCACGGTCCTGCTTACTCCTAAGATTCTCCAGTGGCGATGTATAATGCCAGCCACATAAGTAATTTTAATAATGTATTTTATTTAATCTAGTAAATTAAAAATTATTTTCAGTTCTAAAAAATTCATGTGATAGTTTACATTCTTTTTTTGTACTAAGTGTTTGAAGTCTAGTCTGCATATTATATTTAGAGCAGATCTGGATTTGGACTAGCCCCATTTCAAGTGCTCAGTATCCTCCTGGCACTAGTGGTGTCCTGCTGGGCCTTGCAGGGCCAAGGAAAGGCTACCGACTCCTTGTTTTGTGGGGTGTGTGGTCCTGGGGCTGTGGGCAGTCCTCTATCTGGTAGTGTTTATCATTGAGTTGATGTAGAAAATAATTATGCCTCTTTCTCTTTATTTAGTTCTGGTGCCTATTTTAAAATATAGAATGTTTGTATACACTTAAGACCAATGGGAAATACTTGCTAAGAGGGTTTTTTTTTTAACTCTTGCATTTAAGCTTCCATTAAGCTTATCAAATGTGTTTTACTTATTCAACTTATTTCTGCTTTCCTTTGTCCTCAGAAGTGACATGGTCCTAGTAAATTTGTCTGAATATATGAATTATACCTCCCCTCATGCTCTGTTACGGACAAACTTTCTCAAAAGCCAATACTTCCATTTTCCATCTTCAGTAATAATTGGTTCTGAAATCTGTTCATGCCCACTTTCTGAAAAGTCTATGTACTATATCGTGTTGGATAACATCTGGTGGATCTTTTTTCTTCTTTCAGGAACTTTCTTTTAAAGTTCAGTTTAATTGCATGTAAATTTAAAAACTGTGCCCAGTTCTGTCAAATGAGCAAAAGTATCTAGCATAAAGTAGGGTGCTGTTTTTGTTTGGACTAGAACAGCAATTTCATCTGCGATTATCAGTATGAACATTTTATCGCAGATAGAATTGCCAGACTTAGTAGAGGAAAAAATGAGCACCAGTTCAATTTGAATTTCATATAAATAGTTTTTGTAGGTAAGGTTCCATGCAATATTTGGAACATACTCAGTATTTTTTATTTTAAATTCAAATTTAACTGGATACTGTAAATTTCATTAGGCAATCCTATTTTAGGACTCATATACCCTCTCAAAAATTGGGGACCCTAGGCAGCCATCCAAGAAAATAGGTTTCAAGGTAATGCTTTCAGTCTGTCAGATAGGAAGGTACATTGTCAGATATGGAAGTACGTGGTCAACTCTCTATTTAGGACAAACTTATACTTATCTATTTAGAATAAAGCTTAACTTTATTATTAAATTTGACAAGTAGGCCACATGGTAAGTTCTTTAAAATTATGTATGTTGAATTGGATTTTTTTTGGGGGGGGGGCAGAGTCTGACTCTGTTGCCCCAGGCAAGAATGCCATCAGCTTAGCTCACAGCAGTCCAAACTCCTGGGTTCAGGTGATCCTCCTGCCTCAGCCTCCCAAGTATCTGGGACTGTAGATGCCTACCACAACACCTGGCTAATTTTTCTGTTCTTTTGGTAGAAATAGGGTCTCACTTTTGCTTAGGAACTCTTGAGCTCAAGGGATCCTCTCACCTCAGCCTCCCAGGGTGCTAGGATTATAGGTGTGAGCCACCAGCATGGCTTTGGATTTACTTTTAGGATGAGTGTGTCAGTTCCAGGGGAGTGCATACTGCCTAATATTAGACTTGGACAGTTTTAAGAAGAATTAGCATAATGCAGCCACTAATCTAACTCTTATCTAGAAATGGTGCGGAGGTTGTCAGTGTATCCAATGTAAGAGTACACAGAGAGATAAAAAGTAAAGAGAGCTTCTTTCATGATTTAGTTGCTTGGGCAACAGAGAAAATGAAGGTGCCATTAACAAAAATAGAACAAGAGGAAACGCTGGTTTGGAATAAAGATGGTAAGTTCAGTTTTTGGCTGGAAATGTAGAGCATATCATGAGGGGAGCAGGTGTGTAATGGGATGGAGAGAGTTCACATAGCAGTAAAAAGCTTTCCAGGGAAGACAATGTAGAGAGAATGAACTGACACACAGTGTATCTGTGAAGAATACTTCAATTTGGAGTAAGGTAGAGGAGATGAAGAGAAAATGAAGGTAATAGAGGAGGAGAGGGTTTAAGAGAGCTAGGAAGAGGCTGTGTAAGTTAAAGTGAAGTGAGAAGAGCTTTTCAGGAAGGGGTGTATGTGGTCACAAGTATCAAGTGTTGGATTAAGATTGAGGAATTATAATTGGTTTTTAAATTTGGAGCTAAATCACAGTTCCCTTAGAGTGTTGTTCTGATAAATTGTTAAGTTTTTATTACTTTAGTTTGGGGTTCATTTTTGACTTGTCTGGAAAAACACAGAATCCAGAAGGGTAGCTCCAGCTTTCCCTTATTTGAACCATTTATCACTGTGTTAATTAAGCTGAGAGATACCTAAAAAACCTTACTCCAGTAGAACCTCCTCAAATATTCACATTACTTTAGCGTGACAAGTTTGTTTTTAATACAGTATTTACATTTTAGGTAAAACACTGCAAGAAGAGTCAGAAGATGTGGGTTCTGGCTCTGCTGTGCCCTTGTCTTCTGAGAGCTCCATTTCTTCCACAGTTGATCGAGTCAGGCTAAATTATAAGGCTGTGCTAAAATTATGTGATGTTTGCATCTATGACATTTGTCTCTTTTTTCCTTTTGTTTTATTGTAATAGGTTCACCAAGTTGAAGAGTCTTAACCTTTCCAATAATCATTTAGGGGACTTCCCATTGGCAGTCTGCAGTATTCCAACCCTGGCAGAGTTGAATGTGTCCTGCAATGCCCTCCGAGCAGTCCCAGCAGCTGTTGGAGCTATGCACAAGTGCGTACTTTAAACCCGGTTGGTGGGTGTGTCCAGAAAGCCCAGGGAGGCCAGAGGGGGGGCCATGAAATTAGTTAACCCATTCTCTTGTCCTCAAATCAAGAGATTAGGCACTGTGTGGTCTGTGTAGAGTTCTTTTATTAGATTTATACTCTTTAAATCTTGCAAAAATTAAACTATCCTTGCTTAGAGCTGAGGATTCCTGCAGATGAATATGTCTAAACATGTGTGGGTATTACTTTCTCCTTTTCTCAGTCACATTGAATTCTAAGCCTTAGAAATTAATTTTAAGAAATAACAAGGAAAGGTGAGTGTTTGGGCTGATTCACACTCCAGTTAGCTCATGTTGTTCCCCTTTATGCCTATCCATGTTGGGAAAATTGGTCACAACTCTTCATTTTCAATAGAAGATTAAGCTGCCTGTCTCTGATAATCTCTCTCTGCTCCATGATTGCTTTGAGCCCTGTCTTTATGCATTTTGCAAAGAATGGTACATTTTCTAGTAATATGATCTGTACTTACAGAAGTTAAGTATTAGTAATAAAAATGTGAATTAACACATTCTTTATAATTTTTATGTTTTCTTTAACAGCTTACAGACATTTCTGTTGGATGGAAACTTTCTTCAGTCCCTTCCTGCTGAGTTGGAGAACATGCATCAGCTTAGTTATCTTGGTCTTTCTTTTAATGAATTTACTGACATTCCAGAGGTGTTGGAGAAATTGACGGCTGTGGATAAACTTTGTATGTCTGGGAACTGCATGGAGACCCTTAGGTTACAGGCTTTAAGAAAAATGCCTCACATCAAACATGTAGATCTAAGGTAACCATTTTTGAGAACCATAGCTCATGTGCATGGCTGGCTTATGTTTGGGGTGCAGGTTATATCCCTTTTGGTGAGATTAGCCACGACAAACAGGCTAGCTAGTGAATGAGGCCCCATTTTTCTGTTTCTTCTGAGAGGGAAGAATAATGATTGATAGTAGGATTTGCTCTTCCCTGAAACTTGTTAAAAAGTTCTCACTGATGAATGTGTGTGTCCTAAGGGTCCTACTTTGCTTTGCAAATGTGAACCCAATTTCCTATGATAATAGATACAACCATTGAGTGAGAGAGCTATTTATGGTGGGTGAAAATCATGTCATTGAGAGCAAAGTGGATATTTTTCTGTCTTAGTCCTTTTCTGTGGCTTATCTGAGGCATTTGATTTCAGTGAGCATCTCCCCTTTCTTAATTTTTCCCCCCTTAGCTTTCTTAAGATAATTAAGTTAAATGGATAGTATCCATTTATTTTTATTTAAATTTCTTCTCTCATCTTCCAGATGACTCTAGTTTACCATTCTTTGCAAAAATATGAAACTCATAATCTCCTATCAAATCAAAGTTTGGCTAGAACCTCCACTCTCACCGTTTGCAAGAGCAGGGAGCCTGGATTCTGAGTCCTGATCACACTAAACCCTAATTGGAAGCCACTAGCACAGGCCTTGCTGCGTGGTAGATGCGCAGCAATCTGTTCTTAGTAAGTTAAGCTTTAGTTTCTGATGCACAGAGAACCAGTGCACAGGAGGAATGCTGGTATGAGTTTCTCTGTTTTAAAGAAAAAGAAAGACACTTTTCTTGGGCTCAAATTCCTGCAAAGCAACATATAGAGCTGGCCCTAATACTTAATACTGACTCACCCTGTGTGATACTTTTACAACTAAACTAATTCCCCCATTGGCCAGGGGTTGATAAACACAACCTAGTCAAGTTAAATTTTGGGCAACATTGTTAATGTTTCTATGTCTCTTGTGTTCACATCTATAAATCAGAATAAATCACAGAATTGTGGCAAGAATTACATTTCCCAGCAGTCCCAGCAAGTGTTGTGTTTTGTTATTCTTACCTGATTGAGGACTCTTCTCTGTTCGTGGAACCTGTTCAGCTGCCATTCTTGGCATCTTCACTCCCTTCTCTTTGTTAAAGGTGGTTCTTTCCTGGCCTTACTCCCACTTTCCTCTCTGCTGATAACCCCAGACCCTTCCTTACTCAGGCCTGCCTACTTTCATCAGTATAAAGGAGCATCATCTTTCACTCCCTGTTCTCTCTTCATACCATTTGGCCTAGAAGCTCATACAGTTCAGTCCCACAAAGAATTGCTTGGCTCACCATTCCTCAGACTAAGGGAATAAGGCCTGTCCCACCTGGGAAAGTGTTAGCAATTTGCAGTTCCAGAATTCTTAAATGGGAAGTACTAATGGTTATATTTTACCTGACTTTGAGAATGTTTGGAATGTGACAAGATAGGGAACTAATTAATCACTTTGTCTTGTTAACTGCTCTTTGCAAATAATTAACATTATTTGTCTCTGAGTCACTTGGATTTAGAAAACCCTATATTTCAGAATTTACCCCCTTTTTTATTCAGCCACCCAGTGGTATAACTTTGTTAGAACCAAGGACAATGGGTGGCATTGACTTTAGTTACAAGCATGAGGTCATTCCTTAGTTACCTTGTACTGTAAGAAGGTATCATTTTTCTTAATCAGTACAAATAAGATCAATCTAATACGTCTAAAAGTAGTGATCCTAGTAAGAGCTTTGTATGTTTTTCAGATTTCTAGTTCAAGCTTGAGTTTTTTTAATGATGTCACCTATAGGATATTTACATATCAGAATAGACACTGGACACTCTATGGTTGGATGACTATGAGTAGAAACTACTTCCCTGAAACAGGGAAGGAAAAACCAGATCAGATTCTGCTCTGATTCTGCCTTAATACTTTAATTGAAGCTGGTGGAGCCACTTATGGGGAGTTTTCAAAAGGCTAATATGTATTGGGGTTTTATTCCTTTAAATGGAAATATTACATTAAATTAAGTGATCATTTTTCTTTAAATCGTATTCTTTTCCATTTATGTTCTTTGAGTCTGATGTTATTTCTTTTATGGCATTAATCATAATTCCTCTTTTTCCTGCTCCCCCTCCTCTCTGCCCACATGTGGCTTTTACCCTCATCTGTCTCCCCAGTCACTTCTCTTTCCATCCATGTCTCCCCCCTTGGCGGTTACGTGTATTCTTGGGCTTCGTCTTTCAGTTTCTGTCTCAGCGTTAACTGTCCCTCAGTCTTTCGCCAGCCCCTCTTGGGACCAGTTTCACTTTAGCTGCCAGCAGGTCCTTTCTCCCTGGTTTGCCTTCCTGGCAACATTTAACCAAGCACATGTGAAACAGTTCCCTGTCTTTCTTTACTCAGCCACTTCTCTCCCCTAGATTCTTGTTTCTGCCGACAGCAGCACCACCTCCTTGGTTTTTTGACACACCTTTTTGGCTCTGTTTCTAGTCTACTGTCAGATTTTGTCCATTCTTCTACACTGATTTCACTCATGCCCCTTCTGTTTCCTTCTCCCTGTGGCTGTTGCCTCCATTGTACAGACTCTCAAGCAAGCACAGCCTTGCTTAGAGCCTGAGGACTGTAGCACTCGTTTGGCTTCAGCCACTCGCCTGTGGGTCCCTTGAAGATGAGGCTCTATCTCAGAGCTGCTCAAGTGCAGTCCTCAGCCCCTGCTGGCAAGCCAACCATTTGCTACTTTTTATACATCGAGATGAGTAGAGAATTTGAGACTCATATTTTAGAAATGTGTACTGATTTGACATTGCCACAGCCACCAAGTGCTTTGTGAGTAGACTCATCTCATCGTCCAGGGACTAGTTCGGGTCTTGTTAGAGTTCCACAGTGAGGCATGTGGTGTGAGGTGTGAGCTGGGCACTGCTTATGTGCTGTGGAGACTGAACAACAACAGTCTGATGAATGACAAGGTTAGAAAATAGATCCTTCACCAGAGGTGACTTAGGCACGGCTCTTACTTTTCCTGGAGCCCCAGTGCTAGCGTGTGGTCGACACAGTTCTTGATAAATACTGTTGACTGCCCCATCTTCCTAGCCACATTCTCTCTGCTCTCACGTATCCTGGCTCCTGAGGAACCCGGCCATGCAGACATGAGGCTCATCTTGTATTCTGCTCTCCAGTGCAGAAGCCATTCTGCCGCTTCCTCTAGGCTGTTTCATTTTCCCATTTACATTTGTTAAAAATTCTAACTGTTCTTGGGATTCAGATGAGATGCTTCCTTTTTTGTAGGATCCTTTTTGACTGTTCTGTGTATTTTTTGGCACTTAATCACATATTTGTCCTTACATTATTTAAAACATGTCTAAGGCTTCTCACTAAATTAGGAAATCTGTTGTCAAGCACCTTGTTTTATTTGTCTCTCACTGCCCCCAGGGCCATAGGTTATTGTCATCACTGTTGTCACCACTCCCCTTCACAGTTTACAAAGTGCCATCACATATTATTCATTTGATCTTCTCAACTGCTTTGCAGGACAAAGAAGGTGTTATCCTCATTTCACAATTAGAATTAGACTCAGGTGTTAGGTGACTTGCTCATAGTCTTACTTGCAAAGGTTGAGCTTCCCAGTGGGCTAGCGCACAGTGCTCCCTCATACCGCCCTGCTGTACATCTGAACTACTCAGTGAATATGAAGTGAATGAAATGGCTGCATTCACTTAAGGGATTATTGGAAGGGAATTTTAACCCCATTTTGCTTCTTAAAAAGTTTGTCCTAGTACAACATGGTAAGTATAGTTAACAAAAGACTGTAATCTTAAAAATGCTGAGAGAGCAGATGTAAAGTCTTCTAACTACAAAAATGATAACTCTATGAGATGATGCACGTGTTAATTATCTAGATTAAATTATTCCACACTGCATAGATACCAGAACATCATGTACACTATAAATACATACAATTTTATCTGTCAGTTTTACAAATAATAATTAAAAAGTTCATCCTAAATAGGTAAATTACTGTGTGAAGCTAAAACCTTGATTGAATTGTGGTGAGAGTTGGCCATTTAAGCCAAATGTTAACCTTCCTTTCATTATAGATTTTGTTTTCTCTCTTCATGAAGCCAACACTTTCATCATTCTAGTATTAACACAATGACATTGTGTGTAGCTATTTACAATGAAGATGATAATGCCATTATGAAGGTTAAATAAAGTGTACACTGGGGAGATGAGACATTTTTTAAATCCCTGTAGTGTGTTGTATTCAAGATGGGATTTTGTTTTTTCCTTTTTTTATTCTGTGTACACATTCCAGCAATCTAGTGAGCATTTGGTTGGGGCCAGTTTTTTAACCTTAGAACCTGGAATAAAAGAAGAGGAGAAGCCAAAAACACATCGTCTTCGGGACATTTGAGAGGCCCATATGCTGTGCTTCCATGTGATGGGGCTGGCTCTCTGCTGTCACGCCTCGTGTTTCACTGGCTTTATGATACTGCTCTTAATAATTCATTTACCATAGTTTTATTTTATTATTTTTTTTTTAAGGGCAGAAATTCACTACAGAGAAACTTAGACTTGTTCCTGCACTCCATCCTGGTGTTATCTTCTACTCAAGAGCATGTCTTGGCACTTAGTTGGCTTTGCAACGACTGGTGGAGGGTTTTGATGTTTGTTTTTAAAAGAATTAGGCATGACCTAACAAAGTGGAAATTGAGATTTTCATCTGTTTTTGACCTTTTTGAAACTTCATGTACCTCTTACATTGGTTCCTAGTCTTCGTTGCTGCTCAGTTATCTCTGGTAGTTCATCCACAGCAGCTGGAATCAGTGAGCTAACCGGTTCTCGCGGAGAGAGGGTCTGCCAGTTTGCCCTTTGCCATGCTTTATCCTAGAGTTACTGATTCCCATTTTTGTCCTTCATTCTATGATTTCTTGGTGAATCCTACATGGCAAGTGTTGAGATTTTCCACACTTTACTCTTTCAAGTAATATTTTATATAATAGATGAAAATTGCCTTGGCCGTCCATCTCGGGCCTGAGCAGCTGGGAGTCCCTGTTGTCATGTTCCCGTCGTCTCCAATGCTCCCGTCCATTATGCGTCTGTCATTGATTATGTGACTCCCATTCATTCCTGTTTTTCCTTTTCACCCTGTAGTTCTGTCCTCTCTTACGCTGCTTGTCTACCTGCTCACTCATGCTCTCTCCTCCCTTAAATATTCACTGTCTTTTTGATGTGTTTAACGAGTTAATGTGGATTTTGTTTTTATTCTTTTCAGTATGCTCTGAGTAGTTTTACAGCCTAATTCTTTGGAAATAAATACTTAAATGGACCTTTTTTCTCCTTTTGAAATGAATTAAGGTAAAGTCAGTAGGCTCACTCCTTTCCCAGCCTTCATGGTCTAACTGGTATTTCAGAATATATTGTAAATTGTAGCTAAAAGTAGAGAATCTGGTTAGTTAAGCAAGGCCAGAAGCTAAGCCTCAAGAAATCATAGAGAACTACAATCCAGGGTAAATCAAGTTTTTTTTTGTTAGCTTATTGTTTTAAGGTATGGCCATTTATTTACAGCATTAGAGTTAATTATAGTCTCTATTTGTGTTCTTTCCCCTCAAGATTAAACACAATTAGGAAGCTAATAGCAGATGAAGTGGACTTCCTGCAGCATGTCACTCAGCTTGACCTAAGAGACAATAAACTTGGTGATCTAGATGCTATGATTTTCAACAATATTGAAGTTTTACACTGTGAAAGGAATCAACTGGTTACATTGAACATCTGTGGCTATTTCTTAAAGGCACTGTATGCCTCTTCTAATGGTATGTAACATGCACCACATCAAAGTTTCTTTTTGGGTGCCAAGAATTTATGCAACAGCAAAATCTCTGCTTCTCTGATTTTTCTTTTCCTATTTAGTTAGTAAAGTCAGTGTCAAATTTTGCTGAAAGTTAGAAGAATGCTGATTTGGTATGTAAATTTTGCTGAAAGTTAGAAGAATGCTGATTTGGTATGTAAAGGAATCAAAAAGGAAAATTGTTCCTCAGATTATTTAAATAAGTTACTTGCACTTTTGCTTTTTTTTTGCTCAAAGGAAGGTAGGCCTTTGCACTGAGCAAACATCCTGTATTGAGTGCCTAAAGGCATTGTTCATACCTAAGAAACATCTTGTTTGAATGCTTATAGGCATTGTTTGCAAGCAAAGGTTAAGATAAGTAAGTCTGGAGCCTTGATTTAATACTGGCAAGTGAAAGGAGATCCCATTCTGGACTCACTCATGTCTCCAGTTTCATGTTCCACTAACAAAGACCTCACCTGAAGATAAATCTGAATTATATGCTCACAGGGACACCATAAAGCAAGAGCCTTATCATTCAGTAAGGTCTCTTTCTCAGAACTTCAAAATCATGAAGTTCTTCAGAAATGAAAACATCATCTGACTATATATTTGCCAAGGTGAAGATTTTAATCCCCTATAATTAGCAAATGAATGAAAACAAGTAGTTACTACTACAAGCAGTTGTTTTATGCATAGTGTAGTACGTGAGTTCTGAAAGATAAGGGATTTTTAAAAATGTGCTTACTGTCATCTCACTGGAAAAACAAGCCAAATCTCAAATAAGCACAGATTCTAGTGTAATCAATTTGGCTGAGCACCAAAGGGTTATAGGATTTGGATAGCCAGTGGGAACAAACTAGGAGGAAAGGATCTAAATGTGGCTTGTTCAGCATTTCGGAGAAGAGAAGAGAATTCTGAACTCAGAGAAGTAATTATGAGATGCATGGCTTGTGGGTGGGCATTGAACTTAGCACATACAGTAAGCTTTAGAGAACCAGTAGAGATTCTTAAGCGGATGAAGGTGATGCTATAAGACTACTAATTTTAAAATATTGCATAGAATGTATTAATGGTAGAAAAGTGAGATCATTCACTACTCTGTTGTGATGGGCTTCATGTAAGCTAACAGAAACTTGTCGTCAGGGCTACAGATGTTAGTTTGAATCTTATCTGCTCAGAGATGATACCTAAAACCATAGAAGTAAGGCAACTAGAAGAGCAGAGAGAACTGGTACCAAAAGTCAACTTACAAACCCTCACAGTTAACTGGGGCTTGAGTGGGCAACTGAATATGTAATGAATTACACGGTAAGTCTTTAGAGAAGCAGAAGGACAGTGACAGTCTATCTAAGGAACATTGCCCCTAGGTAGGCAGTGGTGTCTTATTTCATAAAGTTTTGAGGAAGAGTTTTAGATTGGAGTAGAAGTCATTTGTGACCCTTCAGAGTGCTGTCTCAGTAGAGTGAAGATTTTTTTTTAAAAAGATGTTTTAAGTTATATGGGGAGAACCCTGAGTGTTAGAAGGGGAGTATTTATTCAGTTAATCTTCCAGACATAATTTAGCATGTATAACATAAGAAGAAAACTACAGGAAATGGGTAAGAAAGAGGTAGAAAGGTAAAATGAGTGATTTATTGCAATCTCTGAATAAGATCTTATGATTAAATTTGAAGCTTTTTACTTTCCTGTGGTTTCAAAGTTGGACAAATGAATATATTATATTTCTTAAACTAAACAATGGAAAATAAAGCATAGTAATAAAGCACAGTAAAAAGAGTTTTTGTGTCATTGGGATAGTGATGTTTTCATGTTGTTTCGTTTCCTCCTAGAACTTGTTCAACTTGATGTTTACCCAGTTCCAAATTATCTGTCCTACATGGATGTTTCAAGGTAAGAAGTCAAGTCTTAGAGCGTGAAAATTATTTAGATAAATCTCATTGAGCTTATGTGCTATGACCTTTTCATATTATATTGAAGGCAAATAATTATTAAGTTTAATGTTTTTTACTTATTCTTTAGAAATGCGTATAAATATCTGTCAATTAAAATGCATTTGTACACTGTGATTCAAACCAGAGCATCAGAATGTGAGTATATGTACCAATTTGAACACCCAAGTTTGGGCTTGAAAGATGAGTGAGGTCATATGGCTAGGAAGTTCAGTAGGTCCTCAATCTTTTTTTTTTTTTTCCACTGGAAATACATTTTGTTTTCTTCCTTGCCAGTGTCAGGGAAGAATGCTGGTGAAGTTGGTGAGCATCCGCTGGACCAGCTCCCCAGTATAGAGGGCATGGGTGCTGGGTCAGATGTCTCCTGCTCTGGCTGAAACAGGGTTGGTCCTAATATAATTCTCAAGTTGTGAGGAGTCATGTGATTTTTATCTGTGTGTGTTATCACCCTGCATAAATGCTCCAGGAGGTACCACAGAGTGTCATGGTTGGGCTTTTTAATTCTTGTATCTGAAAAAGGCATTGCTCTGATTTAGAGAGTGCAAGGGCAGCACGAACACGGGACACCAACAGTGAGGGCACCAGAGGCTGTGGCAGCTCACGGAGAAAAAGCTTCAGGGCTCCAGTGACCACATGAGTGTCGGCACTGCCCAGATCTAATCGGCCTTGTCCCAGTTGTTCTGGGAACACATAGCTCCATTGGAGGTGACTGCCCTGCTCTCTGTCTACCAGAAAGCGAAGTTTCTGGACCACTGCCAAGTTCCCACTCACTGAGTAAATGCTATCCACATCTAAACCTCTTTATCCATGGCAGCAATGCAGAGCCACACAAAGCTAGGCGCTGTGTCCCCTTCTCGTTGGCAGAGTGATTCCAGCTGGCAGCTGAATACCTGGTCTCCGAGCAGACCCCGCTCCTGCGGGCTCTGCAAGGGCGATCTCTTTGCAATGAGCTGCTTTAGTTTGTTGCACATGCGATTCTGCCTGGTGCCTTCTGGACCCTGACTGGAGCTCCTGTGGCTGCTAAGGAGCAGTAGCGTCTTGGGGACCGGCTCCCACTCTTCTTCTTGTCCTGGCCTGCGCTCAGTTCCCCCAGCTCCACAGGTCTGGAGCCTAACAGACACAGCTCCAGGCTGTTCTCCCAGTTCACTTGATGACTGTCCACAGAGCATGGTACCAAACTTGCAGCTCGGTCACATGGTCTGACTGTAGCTAAAACTTATGGCCAGGGACTGTGCGGATGTGCAGGACGTTGCAGTGGCTGGATAGGTGGCAGCTACACACCAGGGCCGCCCTGTGCAAGTCCACGGTACTTTCTGACTGGTTACCTGCTGGCTCCAGGCCAACAAGGGCACAATTGCAGATGGGTCTCTGTAGAATACCAGGTTATTACCTGCTGACACCACCCAAGATGGGCCCCAGTTCTTCCTGAGCTTGCTCCCCCCTGGGGTAATCTTGGTCATGTTGAGTAAGTCAGACTTTTCCACTTCATGGGGGTCATCCAGGAGCTCTGGCAGAGGTCAAGTCTGCAAGGCTGGATGCTGGTCTGAAGGGTCAAGCTACAGGGAGCAGTGGCTAAAGCTGGGTGAAACCTGTGGACCCAGAAGTTCTGGAGTCCCCATGTCAGATCTCAACCCTTTGCCTGAGGTTTCAGGACACCATTGTTCCTATTTAGGGTCTGTGTCCCCTCCATGGAGCCTGGGTTTGACTCCCCATGAATGAGGCATGGGGGCTTCCAGGATTTGCAACCGGTTAGCAAGTTTATGTAGAAGCAGCGTCCAGAGTTGGGGTCCAGATGCTCCCAGGCATCCAGCTTCTGCAGCAAGGGACATGCAGGGCCTGGGGTGGGGACTGGGGACAGCTACGAAGGTCCACCAGGTGACAATACAGAGAGGAATCTGACTTTAGGAGCTGGAGTCCTGTCTGTCAGGAGAGGGGGAAGAAGGAGGTGGTGGTTCTGCCTGTGCCTCTTCCCAACCTTCCTGGCCTTACCATCTCCTCCTCCCTCCCCCACCGTTTTCTCACCACCAGCTCCTGGCTGGTGTGACCCAGGAATTGGGGGAGAAACCCCGATCCCCGGCTGCTTTTAAAAAATTTTTCTCCTTCTCAATCTCTTTAGTTATATTAACTGTGCCTTTGTGCCTTTCCCTGGAATGATGTTAATTTCATTTTTTTAAAGTGCTAGATGTCTTTTAACTCATCCTCCTCTTTATTATTTTGTACTTGTATGTCTTTGATAAGAATTCTTAGAAAATAGCAACTATAAAATTTAGGAATTCTGGCTCAGCGCCTATAGCTCAGTGAGTACGGCGGCGGCCACATACACCAAAGGTGGCGGGTATGAGCCCTGCCCAGGCCTGCTAAATAACAGTGACAACTGCAACCCCAAAATAGGCATTGCAGTGGGCGCCTGTACTCCCAGCTACTCGGGAGGCTGAGGCAAGAGAATCACTTAAGCCCAAGAGTTTGAAGTTGCTGTGAGTTGTGATTCCAGGGCACTCTACGGAGGGAGACATAGTGAGACTCTGTCTGAAAAAAAAAAAAAATTTAGGAATTTAGCTCCTTTCTGAACAGGTTGACCATCTTACCCTTTATGCACATTTGCTTCTGCAATATATCATATCATGCTTGTCCCAGTTGGCACAAATATAATAATAGATTTTTTCCTGAGGGTACAAAGGTGTGGCTCTGTCTACAGAATATATTTTCATAAATTAAACTTAAAAAATTTTAATGTTGAATTTTAAAAGTGAAACTCATTTTTAAGATAATTCCAAAGGAAATATACAAAATTTTCTGACATGGGATTCTGTGGCCTACTCAAGGTGTGGCCTACAGCTGTTAACTCGTGTTTGTGTGTAAATTCTGATAGCTTAGCAGTCACCATACGTTGTAATCACAACTGCTATATATAGAAGTTTGCATTTTGTTATGAAGGTACATAGACTTGGCTATTTTAATAATATAATTACAAAAGAATGTGTTAGTATTTAGCTAAAGGGAGTTTATTTGGGGTGGGAGACAGAGTCTTGCTCTATTGCCCAGGCTACAGTATCATGGTGTTAACCTAGCTCACAGCAACCTCAGACTCCAGGCAGGGTTCAAGCACTCTTCCTGTTTTGGCCTCTCAAGTAGCTGGGATTATAGGTGCATGCCACAGTTCCTGGTTAATTTTTGATATTTCTAGTAGAGATGGGTGACTCAGTCTTGCTCAGGCTGCCTCAAACTCCTGAGCTCAAGTGGTCCTCCCATCCTGGCCTCCCAGAATGCTAGGATTACAGGAGTGAGCTACCTTGCCTAGCCAAGAATGTAATTTTTAAATCTTGCATAATTACACTGCTCTAACATTACACTGTTTTCCTTTTTGCTATAATGTCTTATAGTTCTGGTCCCAAGCATCATGTTTTCATAGAATTTTCATCTGTGTGTAAAGAATTATAGTCATAATAAGCATACTATTTTAGGTTCTTTGTGCCTGGTCACTTAACTTATTTTACAGAAAAGGTACAGACTGACCAGGTCTGACTAGGCATGCATGCAAATAGAGTAGATGTGTTTAAGTAATTGTCAGTTCACCTAATAAAGTCAACATCAGTTTACTTCACTTGTTTCCAGTAATTATAATTACTAATGCCCAAGTAAATGTTCTCAAATAATTAATTCTGAATCCTGTCAGTCAACATTTTCACTGCTACCATTTTAAAACCACTTCTTGCTCTTCCCATTTATCCATGGCTATGTTTTCACAGTGCCAGCTGGAGTTGGGAAGTATTTTAATGCTAAGGGTTAAAACGTGTATTTGAAAATAAAATTGTGTCTATGGTCTTACCACCCTGAATGTTCCCGATCTCGTCTGAAAATAAAATTGTGACACCCTCTGACTCTTTGACTTAGCAGAAATGTATGTGTTTTATTTCCAATTTGACATCCTCTCCCTAAACTTGATACGAAATTATAGATTTTTAGGAACTAGGCCTTTTTTTCATTTCAAGACAGGGTCTCTATTACCCAGGCTGGAGTACAGTAGTGTGATCATATCTCACTGCAACCTCAAACTCATGCCTCATATAGTCACATGCCACCATACCTGGCTAATCAAAAAAAAGTTTTTTGTTGTCCAGGCTAGTCTCAAACTCTTGGCCTCAAGTGATCCTCCTGCCTCAGCCTCCCAAAGTGCTAGGGTTAGAGGTCTGAGCCACTGCACTTGGCCTAGACCTTTTTAAAGACTTGAGATGATACAGATGATGTCCACTTTCTTTCTTTTTCTTTACTACTTCTCCCCATCATAATTCATCTTGCTTTTAGAGTAAAATGAGTGCACATATCATTTTTGGTTCATGTTCACTGTACTTTGGTATTTCATTTAAAGTTTTATTCATTTTTTGTAATTATTTTATGTTTAGAACTACATTTGAGGCCAAGTTTAATCAGAAAGTTAATTTTGTGTTCTTGTTTTTTAGGAACCGCTTAGAAAATGTGCCAGAGTGGGTATGTGAAAGCCGAAAACTAGAAGTTTTGGATATTAGCCATAATGAAATATGCGAACTTCCTGCCCGGTAAGTATACAGGGCAAATGAGAGAATCTCAAAATAGATGAGCAGTAAGAAAAAATATTGCTGATTCAGTGTTTAACTTGTTATTATAAACCCTTAAGAGTTTGTTTTAAAACTTTACTTGGTATTTTTTACCCCATGTGGTCTCTCAAGTTACATACTTTCTTCATGCAGTGAGTAGAGTAAGGCTTTGACTTTCTGTCCGACTTTTTAAAAGCCACGCAGGCAGTGGTGCTTGATTAATTTTAAATAAACTGAGAGAAGTTTTTAAAGACTTGGCAAACAATATAAAGCTCACCTCTAGGATCTTAATACTTTTAGAATCTTCTATCTATTGACTTATAGCATGTCTGTCTTACCAGAAATAACTTTTGTTTTCCATGTTTTTTTAAGGGGAAAAATAAGATTGTTAAATAATTAAATCTAGAAAGAGCAAACTAGATTATCTTTTTCTTGGTGTGAGATTTAGTGTAGAAGATTCAAGAACTTTTCTTTCATTCTCTTATTTTCATTTCACAATTTTCACTTCAGTGTCAACGTTTACAGAACAGCCCCATGATGAGGACTATTGATTATAAATACAAAGATTTTCAAGTTGACTAATTGTCAAAGTATTCAAAGTATTCAAAG